CTCACCATTGAAAAATATTTTCAATTATTATTTAGTCACCTAACAATGAATTCAAAAATTGATCAATGGAATCTATTTTGAAATGGTTGAGGTTGAGCATTTGAAGTCAAATTTTACATTTTTTTGAATTCTATTTGTTGAGAAAAAGCAAGTTCTTCAATATAAGAGAAGAAAAGATATGAAGGAGGCAAGCTCCTCATTATTTTTCTTTTCAAAAAAAAAAAATCAAAAAGATCATGAAGGGGGCAATCCCTTCATGTTTCTAGCTTGCGTGACAGTTACTTGGCTCTAATTTCTCCTTCCCTTTACATGCAAGTGGCTAAAGTTGTTTTTGACAATGAAGAATCCATGTGTAAAAAAAATAATTAGAAGGTAGATTTACTCATCCATTTATCTAATGGAAACATTGGGAACTTATCTCTCAAAATGCCAATTAGATAAATCCATGATTTGTTAATAATGCTTTGGTCTTAAAGAGAATTATCCAAGAGTTTGTTCGCCTATTCTCACTAGAGCTCTTGCAAGAAAAATGGCTAACGAAGCTAATTTAGAGAGGGGAGGTCTTGAAAATTGTGTTGACAATATGGAAAATACTTTGAAGGAATTGATGGCTTCCTTCCAATCTCGTCAAGCAACCATAGTCACAAGGGCACCTTTAGTGACAAATCCTTTGTTTGAAGAAAATGTTCTAGTGGTGAATTTCCCAATGGCCATATCTACTTTAACTCTTGGGAAGGAGCCTACGTCATCTTGCCCGCCAAATCCAACTATTGGTGGAACTTCTGGGACAAAGCCATTTGATCTAAATGCTGGTGTTGCTACAGTTCAGTCTAATGATCAAGAAAAGACTCAAGTTGTCAAGTCAATCACAGAGGATGAAGACAAGACAATTAAAACGAAGGTGCAGTTGATGGAGGAAACACTAAAATCAATGCAAGGTGTCCAAACCAATAAACCGGTTGACATCTCATCTTTGTGCTTTTTCCCAAACATTCAACTGCCCCATAAGTTTAAATTGCCTGAGTTTGATAAGTACAATGGCACCAGTTGTCCTTATGCTCACTTGACAATGTACTATAGGAAGATGGCTCCTTATGCCAATGATGAGAAGCTAATGATACATTATTTTCAAGACAGTCTGACCAGTCTTGTAGATGCTTGGTTCTCAACTTTAGACAAGAGTAAAGTTAAGAGTTGGCAGGATTTAACTCATAACTTTATGAAGCAATATGAATACAACACATCATTGCTTAAGTTTGATAAGTACAATGGCACCACTTGTCCTTATGCTCACTTGACAATGTACTATTGGAAGATGGCTCCTTATGCCAATGATGAGAAGCTAATGATACATTA